AAACCAACAAACACACAAACACACCAAAACGCAAACACACGAACACACAAAACAAACAAACAAACAAACAAACACACACACACACACACAAAAAAAAAAAGAACCTAAACACAGTGAACAGTAAAGGAGGGTCGGCGAAGCCGACAACAAGAGCGGCCTGAACTCAAGATGCAAGTCCTTCGTGAAGCCAATGCAGCATGTCTTCAGCGGGCGGCGCTTGTGTTTTACGCGGTGCCCAAGCTCAACAGAGGAAGCATTGCAATTCTTGAAGCAAACATAAATTGCTGCCCACGGCTCCGTCATCTTGGAGCCAGCTCTTCCTAAAGTGCCTAATGGGCTCCCATTTCTGCATGCATTTCGGATCTTGGGGCTTCGACTTCGCTTGGTTCTCTTTGATGCTAGACTCCCCTACAGTAACTAGTCAGCATGACTTTCCAAACTCCGTAACTTTGGGAGCACATGAAACTAAATAGGCAGCGTCTGGATGCATCCATCCTATCAGCAGGAACTTTCTGCCCCACCGGCGTGGGAAGTTCTATGTACTGTTTGTCCTTTTGGTGTGGTCGGTTCTGGTTTGCTGCATGCAGGCATTTCTGAATTCGGCTCTCGCGGCTAGTTTGTGGTAAGGTGTACACTGTTGCACAGACTGAAAGCGCGACAGCTGGTTCACTCCGAGGTGCCCTCTTCAACACAGAGCAGGGTGCCTCCCAGCAGGTGCGGGGGGATCTCCGCAAGTGTGGCCTGCACTGGACTAGGTCGTCGTCAGAGTCAGTCACGAAGGGTTGGGGCTTGCTTAGGGTAGCACGTGCTCACGGCTGGGAGAAGCCAGTGAGGGTTGTTTGGCTGGCCCGTCGTCTGAGGGGTCTCGGACCTGGTATGGAATCCTCAGCTCGCACAAAGAGCCCTTTCTCTAAAGCATAGCTTCTCAGTTCTTTTCCTGCTGGCCTACTGAAGCGACGGGTCCAGACGTCCAAAAAGGTCTGCAAGCTGCACATGTGCGCAGCTCGCAGGAAACTGCAAAGTACACCAAGTACATGTGTTGTGGCAAGCATGGCCCTGGGCACAGAGAAGAAGTGAGACCATCCCCTGGGTAGCACTTTTGTGCACTGAACGGCCAGGTACTTTGATCACTAAGCTCCGATGCCCACACGGTGGAAAAGGTGCAGCAGGGGCTTTCCAAACAACATACATATGCGGCCACGACGAACATCGCTACTCCGTGCTCAGGCAGCTTGCATGTGGAGTTCTGTCCCTGCGGGCACTGCTGCTGGTCGTGTGGGCCTGAAGAAAGACTCTGGGCTATCGGCAGGCTGTGAGAACCACCCCGAGGTGGACTTGAAAAATGCCTTTTGGGATCCGCTCAACTGGGATCCCTTCAGTCTTAAAGTCTCAAGCTGCCCTATCTTTTCACTCCCACAACTCACCTCTGCTCAGGAATGAAAGTCTCCCTGAAGACCGTCTTTTCGATCCTGTAGATCTCCGTCACTTCTGAGCTTGGGCTGACTTGAGCCGCGATGATGTCATCGACTTCCACGGAGCCTTAGGAGCAGAGTTTCTCGATCCATAGATGCCATCGCAAAAACAGGAATCCATACTAAGGGAACAGCATCGGCACTAGCCCAGCCCAGAAATTTCTGATGACCATCATCAGGGGAGCATGGCGTGCCCCACTTTGCCATGAACTTTTTGGATGGGCAATGCTGTCGTAGGAACGACTCCGTGGCCCGGAGGGCACGGATGCGTGTACGGGATCGGTAGCATCGGTAACCGTCCCTGCGCAATTGCTGCGCATCTTCGCGGCCATGTGGGAGTTCCTTGCTCGACTTGCGCAAAACAACATCGAGGAACAGTACTGTCACGGCAAAGGCTCATGCCTACGCACGAAGCCTTCCGATACACAGGGATCAGAACTACAACCAAGACGGTGCAAGCATTTTCAATCACCATCGTATCATGCATCACTTAAATCGCAGCATTGCGGAAGGTATAGAGGGTACTTCAACATGCATCATAACCATGGTGGCAATCCGTATCCCTATCTGCACATTCATCAATCTGCGCAACCATGCTAGGACCAGAACAAGCCCAGATTCCAATGGAGTTGCCAGATCGTAAGCTGCCGATGTTGTCGCGTAGGAGAGGATGTAATTCTCCTTCCATCGGGTGTTGGCCTGCACGACGACTGAATACTCAGGGCTCCTTTCTCTCGTTGGTTTGTGGCGAACAACACACCTTACCGGGTAGTTTTTGCGGCGTAATGTTGGAGATTGGCCTGCACGACGTAATCCCCTTCGACGGCGGTGTTCACTGTCTCCTCCTTGCCATCCACGATCGTGACGATGATCTCTCCTGGTTGAGCACACTGACCTTTCTACAGTTCCAACACCCCCTTTGGGGGCACACCCCTAGAATCCCATTCATTAGATTAGGACATACGAAAATCGTAGCACAAACGTAACAAATCACCAGAAGAAGAAGAATACTACCCGCTATGAGAATACTGGTGCCGGTACATCGCCACAGGGCACTGAATCAGGAATGAAGTACCGTAATTGAACTTCTCTGTTGTGTGTGCGTGTGGGGTTGTGATCGCAGCTGCGGTGATGTTGTTTCAAACTGTTGGTGCTGGTAAGTGGTGCTGGCAGTAGTAGTGGTAGTGACTGGTGGTGGTGGTGGTGGTGGTGGTGGCAGCAGCACCGGTGGTAATGTCATGATTACCGGCATGCTCATCACTGAGAAGTGATGCTTACAAGTTGAATAATTAATATGTTGCCAGCATCAAAAGACAATGCTGCTGGCGCAGGCAGACAAGGCCAATCGATCATAAACCTTCCCCCTCCCCCAAACTCTCCTGGTTGAGCGGGACGGAGGAAAGCGAACGCCACCTTTCGGTACCAGCGTCCCGTGCTCAGCATCTCGTGGCTCACCTGATACGTTGGAGTTTGGTCTACTGTGTCAGAAAGAAAGCGTTCCTGTCAAAGTTCTGGTCTGCTTGACCCCGAATCCCTGAGGCTTATGTCTAGCCGACTTGAATCGATCTCCGGACCTGCTGGATCATCTCCTGTTGCGAGCAGATGCCGTAGTTGTCGACAGCATCGGACACATCAGGGGCAAACAAGATCTCAGTGTTCTCCTCTTTCACATTCGCAGTCTTTGGGTCCTCCCCGGGCCGCCTCTCCAGGACTGCCTGCTTGTTGCTGCACATCCTCAGCAAGAGAAGGTCCGGGTCGCTTGAGCTCCATTTCCCTTGGATGGTGATGGCATCAATGCGGAGGGTCACAAAGTTCCCGGCCTGATCGCTGCTGGCTGGCCAAAGCTTACGAGCACGGCGGTAGATCTCGGCCAAAATCTCCAACCGTCTAACGGGGCTGTCCGTGTTCATCCTCTGCAAGAATGCCGGACCATAGTACACCAAGAAGGCCGGCCCAGCCAAAAGGTCCCTCACAGACGATGGTACGAAACCCTCTGAGAAGCTTTGATTCTCTGTACCGGTGCGTGCCATTTCCTCACTGAGCACCATCCGGTCTGCCTCACTGAGCTTGTCGAAGGCTTCCAACACTTGGCCTGCCATGCCTTGAGCCATGCCTTGGATCGCGACAACAGTCTGAACTAATTACGAGCACCATCTCTGACAATCAGGCATGTTATGATATAACGGCTTCAGTTTCGGTAGAACAAGTGCCAACACAAGAAACACATGGTGTTGACGTTTATAGTGGTGGTGGTGCTGATTGTGCGGATGCTTATTTTGACGCTGAGCTTGCCCATCACAATCAACAAAGCGATCGCCATCAGCACAGCTTCGTCAGCATCACAATCTTCCTCTTCTCATGGTCGTATCGGCCCAAAAGGCCGAAGTCATTTCACTGACTGAAGTTGTCGTCACCATCGTCGTCGCTATAGTACTTGTTGGAGCAGCAGCAGGAGTAGTGGTGGAGGTCGTGGTAGCAATCGTCGTCGTCGTCGTCGTCGTCGTAGTAGTAGTAGTAGTAGCAGTAGTAGTAGTAGCAGGAGTAGTAGTAGTAGTAGTAGTAGTAGCAGCAGCAGTTGTTGTTGTTAGTAGTAGTTAGCAGCAGCAGCAGCAGCAGCAGCAGCAGCAGCAGGAGCAGCAGCAGCAGCAGCAGCAGGAGCAGCAGCAGCAGGAGCAGCAGCAGCAGGAGCAGTAGCAGTAGCAGTAGCAGTAGCAGCAGCAGCAGCAGCAGCAGCAGAAGCAAGCAGCAGCAATAGCAGTACCAGTAGCAATAGCAGTACCAGTAGCAGTAGCAG